AGCCTTTTTCTGTTCTCATCATGGACACGTTTTAAGAACTGGAAAGAGACATCATCGACCACATGTCACGTCTCTGCCCTGAAGTCATCATCAACCCCATCGGTCCACTCTTCAAGATGGCTCATGCCATTAGCTCTGACATAAAGGGAAACACCTCCAAGCACGTGGATGAATCCATTGAGTGGCTTGACTCTAGAAAGCCATCCTCTGACGTTGTTTACATCTCCTTTGGTACTGTAGTTCGCTTGAAGCAAGAGCAGATCGAAGAGATCGCTGACGGCCTTCTAAACTCTGGATTGTCATTTTTATGGACTGCGCAGCCTCCCATGGAAGGGTATAACGAAGAACCATATGTGTTGCCTCGAGAGCTTGGCGAGAAAGGGAAGATTGTTGAATGGTGTCCACAAGAGAGAGTGTTGGCTCATCCTGCGATTGCTTGCTTCTTAAGTCACTGCGGATGGAACTCCACAATGGAGGCTTTGTCTTCAGTCTTCTGGAGTTCCTGTGGTTTGTTTCCCGCAGTGGGGGGATCAGGTGACAAATGCTGTTTACATGATTGATGTTTTCAAGACAGGAGTGAGACTTAGCCGTGGAGAGGCGGCTGATGAGAGGATTGTTTCAAGGAAGGAGATCACTGAGCGACTTCTTGAGGCCACCGTTGGGAAGAAGGCGGTGGAGCTGAGAGAGAACGCTCGGATGTGGAAGGAAGAGGCTGATGCTGCCGTGGCGTACGGTGGATCATCTGATAGGAACTTTCAAGAGTTTGTGGAGAAATTGATTGCAGTAAAGTCTAAAGAAAACATCAAACAAAAGTAAGGTCTCGTAAATATCTTATTGATACCGGTTAATATGACGATGACGATTTAACGTTGTTTATACAACGTTGTTCACTATATTGTATGGATTGTATAAAACATTTTCAAACTATGGTGATGAATGGTATACCACTTGTTTACGTTTTCATATTTTCCTATGTTTTACTATTGATATATAACATGTTTTCATGCTTTTGAAAAGTGATTCTACAATTTAACTAGAGTGTTACAAGTATAACTAGTAAACACAAAAGTGATTAGTATACTAAAATTAGATTTTTTCAGCGTTTTCTAATTGTTCGACAGAAACTTGAATTCAATTCTTCTCGTTAACAATTATTCAATTATTCCGTTATTTTGCTATTTATTTGACATACCTATAACTCGTAATTTTGGGTAAATTTCAAATGCTCATCTATGACAATGGATCTTTTTTTTTTTTTCGCCTATGACAATGGATCTAACAAGAAAAAAATACAAAGGAGATTGTTCGATATAGTTCAAAAAAAAATTATAAACTGTGTGGTCGCCATAATGTGGATCCACAATGTGGATTTGGCTATATTTAATATAGCTAAAATATTTCAAGAACTTTAGGAAAAGTCTACCGAATGATTTATGTTGAATTGGCAGCAATAACCAAAATCTTAGGCACTTCTTTACCATGTGTAAAGTAAATTTTTTTAAAAAAATCTAATGTTAAATTATATTCAAAGATAAAAAAGATTTTTTTTACAACTTGAGTTCAAACTTCATCCAGAGTAAAAAAAACATTTCTATCATTATTAGTGTAAAGTAAATTTCATTTTCTCTAGCATCAAAAAAATTATGTTAACCATCATCAAATGCCATTTTCATATGCCCTAATTTTTGCATGAAACTTGTGAGTTCCAGGTCCTTGCCATAAGTCCAAATCAGTTTTGTTCTTGCAATTAACTATCATGAAAATCAAAATCGAAGGTTTGTCTGCGACTCAAATAAACAACGTCTAGTTGTTCTTTGTAAAATTATTTATCCTGAAATTGTTGTTTGGACCAAGAGAGTTTCTGAAATTTATGGAGTTTTAGCCCACAGCTTCGCGTTATCCATAGAATACACAATACCATGACAAACAAAAAGCACGAGAGGTGATTCATCGCTTTGGTTAATCGCTATAGTATATTTTGTTAGGGGTGATATAAAAGATAAAATGTGCATATCCATACTGTATAATATTAAAGAACACTTCTAAATCCACCAAAATTAAATAAACTAAATAGGATTGCAATCTTTTATTCAATACTATCCATTACAACAACAAACGAGATGAAACTGCCGTTTAAACAAAGATAAGTATAATAACAACATATTAGCTCCAATTATATTCTAATTTAGGCGTTTCTTTACCATGTGTGAAGTAAATCCCATCCTCTCGAAGATCCCAAAAATTCTGTTTACCATGATCAAATGCGCCGCTGCCAGACTCGAACGCTCTAATCGTTGCCTTGCTCAACGCTCCAAGTTTTTTTGTTATGAAACAATCAATTTTGTTCTTGGGATTATATGGAGCATGAAACATAAAATCGTAGCTATGTCCAGGGGTCAAGAAAACGAAGCCGCCCATTTGTTCTCCGTTGAGTTTACAAGAAATATCGGCATTGTCATTTGGACCAAGAGAATTCTTGAAATGTAAGCCGTTTTCAGCAAACAGCTTCGCGTTACCTAACCCAACACACAATGTCATGACAAACAAGATGCACGAGAGGTGATTCATAGCTTTGATTAATCGATTTAGTATATTTTGTTAGGGGTAAGATGTATCTAAATGAAAAGACAAAATGTGCGAATTTATACAGAAAATAATTATGAGGTCACATTTAATTATTGGTACTTTTTAGAAAAAATAGTCAAGGTTTGACTTTTGTATATATGGGATGCATCAATGACGTGTTTGTGTTTCCTTTATGAGATGCATCAATGTAAGCACATACGGTAAAAGAAAACATAATATTGCTTTTTAAGTGTGATATATTAAGATTGGTTTTGTTAAGAATAAATCACTAATACATTCTATTGCAGATTTGTTGATAAAATGTGCAGATTTTAGTCAAAAATTAAAAAATCCTTATGGAAATATTCTAATTCGGTAGAATAATGGTGAATTGGTAGTGATTAAAGTGACTTTTAGTTCGTCACTAGATGAATACCCGTGTATACACACGGGTTTTCTTTCAATTAATAATTTTAATTTAATTTTTTAGAAATTTATGTTGTGATTATCTAAATTCAATGTTTTATTTAATATGTGCATAACATTTTTACAGAATAAAAAAGTTAACATGCTAATTCTAAAATTGAGAGAACTAATTATATGAATTCATTATTGTTGATAAAATTTCAATTGTAGTTGTCGACATGTGGTAATCTTTAAATAATTTCTATTTCTCTACTAAGTCGACTTTCTTAAAAATTTATCTATATCTTCCATTTGAATTAAACCACTGGCCACTATAATTGTTCTTCCAACGAACTATTTTGGTCAACATGCACTCTATTAGTAGGCTCCATGATCCTCTCATTCCACATAGCTAGTGTGTTCTTAGCTTCTTCAACTTTCTTATACAACTCGTCTCTTTTTAACTCCTCCATTTCCCTTTTCTGTGATTTACTCAGAGATTTCTTCTCAGATTTATAAACCTCCAATTCCAGTTTTTCTTTCATTTCCCTCACTTCCAAAACCGCACATTTTCTTTCTAAATCCCTAACTCTCTTCTCAATCTCAGCTCTCGCTTTCCTCAACCTCTCTCCTTCCTCATAGCTTTCAAATCTCTCACCTTTCTTTGTTAACCCTTTTTGGATCATTGTACATTCACTTCATGGTGTTGTTAAATTTTAATTATAAAGGCTTTAGTCTCCCAAAATATCAACCAGAAATTCAAAAGAGCAATTGAAGTGTTGCCTGTATGAAGTTGGTATAAACTGGGGTATGATAAATTTACATGAAAATGAATCAGTTCAGAAAAGTTGATGAGCTTAAAAGAGATTTTTATAACTTGACGTGCTTCGAGATATTTAAAAAAGCTAGTATTTCTCCATTCTAACGTCATTTTTGTTCCCTAAATCAATGCTGTTCTTATCTCAGTGTCATATTTGCCAGTGATCAGATCTTTTAATCTAGTCTTACTACATCATCAACAGAAGCATAAGAAATAAAGACTTATACACCTGAGGCTGCAGATTCAAAAAGATCAAAAAAGTGAAACTATGATCATTAACGATGAATCAGAAGAGAAAGAAAAACTTCATTTACATGAAACTTCAAAGCTTTTTCTTGTTTTGAGCTGTGGACATTTCTTTTGTTTTTACCAAAGATATGTGAAAATCCAACAAATAGATTGTAAAAAATTTCTCTCCTGCGACATTTCTCTTTTTGCGCTTCAAGTCAGGTTATTTACTCCACTTTTGATGCTAGTAATTAGTTTTTGCAAAATTAATACGACATAGAGAATTGAGGTTGAATTAATCTGATTAATAATTTGAGTCATTTGACCATCAATTAATGAATAAGAATTTGAGTGTTTTTTTTTTCAAGCTGATGTGTCAAAATAATAGGAGCTGATGTGTCAAGTTTGTGAGACACAACCCACTCTTTATATAATAGATTTTATACGGAGGTATTCTAAATTATTTTTACATTTTAATTAGATTTACACTAAAATTGTAAGAAATTAATACAAAATATCATCTTATTATTTGTTTTTATAGACTTTTCTCTGCTTGGTCTTGTCTTAAAATGATTTAATTTTAGTAGAAACCCTTTACTTTAATGGTTGACAAATGGTTCATTAATTCTTTTACACTAAGAAGTAGTTCAAATTATCGGAGAATGCCAATTTAAAGAGGCCATTTTATATGAACTTTCCAGCATGATGCAAGTAAAGTCCTTCATCATGTTCCAGTGTGTCAAGGTAAAAATGTTCCCTTGGTGCCCGATATCACATAGATCTACAAGGTTGGAATGTAAACTTGGAGAGAGTCCATGTTTATATGAACAGTAGGTTAATCATGGCTTGATAATTTAGCCATGATTTATTTCATTGCTCAGAAAAAAAGGAGACGCTGGACAACTTCAAGATCAAAAAAGATAGATAGGTAGTCATGTTGAAAAATTTCAGGAAAAAACAGAGAAATGGTTGTTGTCTATGTAAGAATCACTGAGAAATGATTTTCGCAAAAATAAAATAACTATAATAAAAGAAAATTAAAAGTGAATAGTTTACAATGGGTGGCACAACACCGCTTCTCCAATATATATAAAACTGTCTCCACCTTTCCACATAGTTAAAAAAAAAAAAAAGAATAAAATCAGTTTCTTGTTTCCTTAAAGAAAATAGAAAACAATGGAACCGTCTCTTCGTGCTCATGTGATGCTCGTATCATTCCCAGGCCAAGGTCACATAAACCCTCTTCTTCGTCTCGGAAAGCTCATAGCCTCTAAAGGCTTACTAGTCACCTTTGTCACCACAGAACAGCCATGGGGCAAGAAGATGCGTCAAGCCAACAAGATTCAAGACGGCGTGCTCAAACCGGTCGGTTTAGGTTTCCTCCGGTTCGAGTTCTTCGACGACGGGCTAACCGACGACGATGAAAAAAGAAAAGCAAACAACTTCCATGCCTTCCGACCACACCTTGAAGTGGTCGGAAAACGAGAGATCAAGAATCTCATCAAGAAATACGAGGAAGACAAGGAACCGGTGACGTGTCTAATAAACAACGCTTATGTGCCTTGGGTATGTGACGTGGCCGATGAGCTTCAAATCCCTTCGGCTGTTCTATGGGTCCAGTCTTGCGTTTGCCTCGCCGCGTATTACTATTATCACCACTGGTTAGTAAACTTTCCGACCAAAACAGAACCGGAGATTAACGTTGAAATCCCTTGTTTACCATTGTTGAAGCATGATGAGATCCCAAGCTTTCTCCACCCTTTTTCTCCCTATGTACCTTACGGAGAAGTCATTTTAGACCAGTTCAAGCGACTTGAAACCCACAAGCCTCTCTATGTTTTCATTGACACTTTTCAAGAACTAGAAAAAGACATCATCGACCACATGTCAAACCTTTGCCCTCAAGTCAAATTCAGCCCTGTCGGTCCACTCTTCAAGATGGCTCAAAACATAAGCTCTGACGTTAAGGGAGACATCGCCAAGCCAGCGAGTGACTGCATGGAGTGGCTCGACTCGAGAGAACCATCCTCAGTGGTTTACATCTCCTTTGGGACTATAGCCCACTTGAAGCAAGAGGAGATTGAGGAGATCGCTCATGGTGTTTTGAGATCTGGCTTGTCGTTTTTATGGGTGGTTCGGCCTCCCATGGAAGGATCAACCGAGAAACCACATGTTTTGCCTGGAGAGCTCGAAGAGAGAGGGAAGATCGTTGAATGGTGTCCACAAGAGAGAGTGTTGGCACATCCTGCGGTTGCTTGCTTCTTAAGTCACTGCGGATGGAACTCGACTATGGAGGCTTTGTCTGCTGGAGTTCCTGTGGTTTGTTTTCCGCAGTGGGGAGATCAGGTTACTGATGCGGTTTACTTGGTCGATGTTTTCAAGACAGGAGTGAGACTTGGCCGTGGAGCGGCTGAGGAGAAGATTGTTCCGAGGGAAGTTGTTGCCGAGAAGCTGCTTGAGGCGACGGTTGGGGAGAAGGCGGTGGAGCTTAGAGAAAATGCTCGGAGGTGGAAGGAGAAGGCGGAGGCCGCCGTGGCGTACGGTGGATCATCTGATAGGAACTTTCAAGAGTGTGTGGACAAGTTAGTTACGAAACCTGTGGTGAGAAAAGAGGAAGGAAAAAGCTAGTGATAATGTCTCGTAAGACTCCAAAGTGTTGATGTAACTCCAAATTACATAAACCACAACTTCTTCTCCACTTATTTTATATATAAAAGACAATCAACTTTCTCCAGCTGAATGACACCTCAGCAGTCGAGAAAGTGACACCTGTCCCATTTTTAATAAAATAAATAATTAATTAAATTTAGAGTGATTTTGGTTAATATTAATGGTTTACTCATAAATTAGCTAAGTAGGAATGATAATTTATAAATTAGGTAAGTATGAAAGAGAAAACATAATTAAACCAAGTATATCTTTCTTTTTTTAATAATTACTAAAAATGCCATTGGTCAAAAAACTTATTTTCTGACAGAACATGTGATAATACTATTCATCACAAGATAGATATTACTGTTCATCAAAAATCGATGTCCACTGTTCATCACTAAAAAATATTGTTAACGTACTAATATTAATATACATGATAACTATTATTTTGTTAACGTTTTATATTGAATGTTAACGTGCTAACAATGATAGCATGTATATTGTATCGTTAACATTATCCAACAATATTGTTTATCTGATTGTTAACTATTTGATTTCACGATAACTATTATGATATCTTGATAAATTTATATGTTACATGCTAATTATATACTTATCATGATAATTCAATTATCATATCATATGATATATGAAATATCAATTAATTTAACATGTTACATGCTTATGACATGTTTATCATGTTAATTCAGTTATCATATTGTTACAGTCTTCACCATCATTCATATCATCACAAACACTATCATCAGCTTTCACTTTCATTTTCATCACCTTTCTTCGTCGTTTTTCTTCTCCTTTTTTTCTTCTTTTTTCTTTTTCTTTCTCCTCTTTTTTTTTTCTTCTTCACTGTTGTTTATTTGATGAGAGAGAAAAACAGAAAATGTAATTACTTTAAATAGATAAGGGTAAAATGGATTTTTTATAGTAAACTGTAGTGATGAGTAGTGACGATGAAAGATAACTAATTATAACATTATCTGTTACTATTTATTGATATTACTTTAAAATTTAAAGCAATTAAATTAAAAAACATAAATAAAAATTAATATATACATGTATATATATTAGAATAAAATTTAAATCTACTTTTAATATATAAAAACTTATAAATACTGTATAATACAAAACTTTTAAATGCATCATTTTATGTTCTTTTTTCAAGTGATTTAAACATATAATTAAATTTTAATTCAAGTGAAAAAAATATTGTGACTGTAGTATAAGTTAAGAAGTTTAAAAGAATCTTATATAAAACTACAACTAAGAAAATTATAAAACACAAAGAATATTTAATAAACGAATAAAAGTTATTAAAAATAATAGTAAAAAGATGGAATCGTTACAAAAAAAAGGCATTTTACATCACTTATTTTCTAGATTTGTATTAGTTATATATGATGCAAAAAAAATTTAGATCACTAAAATAAATGATTCTGAAAGTGATGATGCAAATAATTTGCATCAGTTATAAAAAAATTTACATCAGTTTTAATAATCAATGTTAATATGTATCAATTATAAGAAATGATATTACATTTACATCAATTAATATACTTGATGCTAATATTTGCTTCGGTTATAGTAACTGATGTCATTGTATATATCATTTCTCAATAACTGATGCTAACATTTATTTCGGTTATAGTAACTGATGTCAATGTATATATCATTTCTCAATAATTGATGCTAACATTTATATCATTTATAAACAACTGATGTTATTTTTATATCATTTGTACTTAATTGATTTTAACTTTAATATCAGTTTTCAAAAATGATTGCAATACTTGTATCACATAAAATAATTGACGCACATGCATTTTTGTAGTTTGCATTGTTTTGTAGAATAATGACAAAAATGTAATTACATGGTTAATCAACACAAAAATGTTATACATGGTTTTTTAAAAATATAAAAAAATGGAATCAATCAAAAATATTTAACCAAAAAAATAAAAATGTATATTTCTCTCTGATATTCAACGTATATTTTTAAGTGAATTATTACGTTTTCATACAAAAAATAAAATAATAGATTTTAGTTTCTGATTATTTTAGGGAAAAAATAGACTATTTGACATAACTGGTGTAGAAGAAATTACAAATAATATATTATCAAGAAAAACCCGAAGAAAATATAAAAATTTTAAACGCAAAAACATTGATAGTAAACATAAAATTCAATACAAATTCTTTAAATATATATTATTTAAAATATAAATTAAAACAAAATCTGCGCATATGCGCAGGTTCTTTCCTAATTATAATATAATGTTTTCTTTTTGTTTTTGCTATTTTTTTTTTGAGAAAAAAATCACATCGATCTTATCTCATGCTAATATCATTATTTTTTATTTTTTATATTCATCAGTTCGATTTATAAGCTGACTGAACGCTTCGGATCTCATTACTATTTCTTCTACTTGATTTCCCACCTTTTAACGCCAAAATAACTTACCATTCACAGTAAGTCTTAAGTTTTATTTGGATAGCGAGGGTTACTCATATCACACATACATTTTTTTTGGTAGATTTTGAATCAGATTTATGGTGCATGCATGCGATTGTAAACGCAACCGCAAGAGTTGGCTTAACTGAGCTTAAGAGAAAGAAAAAGAAAACCTTGTAAAAAAATGATGAAGCATAAGATACTAGTAAAAAGCCTGACCAATAATACATTGACGAGATTTTTTATTTATTAATGGTACTTATTGAAATATCAGTGTAATTGAGCCGATAGGTTAGAAGGCGGCATATATGTTCTTCAATAACACCTTCTGTTGTGCTCAAAGCTCCCCTCTACATGAGGAGATTTAAAACATCCTTGTTTTGTTTTCTTCAACCTCTTCAAAATCAATTTAGTTTAAAATTTTACCATAGATAAAACGACAAAACAAAAATTTTAAAGCAAACTATTTTTTTTTGTTCTCATATTTATGATTTAATGTTTGTTTATAGGACTTTTCATCTATTTTGTCTATATAGGTATGTGTTTTCATAACTTCAATTTTTCAGAATTCTTAAACATAAGGTATATAATACAATGATTTGGTGAAACAAAAGTGTTACTAATGAACATAAGTAGATGATTCTTTGCCAAAACAAAAAGTGGATGATCTCTTAATTTTCACTAATTTCACATCTCTTTCGCCACATTTTTTTTCCTGTAAGCACCACTACAATTTAAAACGAAGTTAGCCTTGTGATTCAAAACAAAAATTCATATTGCATTTGAATGAGCCTTTGCAGAAAATTTTCACTAACACTGGAATTTGTGTTTTTTCATCAAAACTTCGATTTTACTTTTTGCCAAAACTTCCAAATCATAAAAAAAATCCTGTCAAAACCGCAAAATTACATTCTTCTGCCAAAAATGCAAAACTATATCTTTCAGTTTAACCATTATCCAAACGGTTAAATCTCGGTTTTGTACTTAAAAAAAAAACTATGTATGTACCAAAATCAAAATGAAAATGAAAAAAATTTGCAGCAAATTATTTGATCTCATCTTCAGTTCACTTTCGTACATGCAAAGATCACAATTTATCAAGTTCGAAAGTCTTTTAGTTGATCAAGTGGATCGCACTGGTGAAGAAGCTCACAGCATCTGCCTCACCAGATAAAGACTCGGCCATTTCACCTGCACCAGTTACAAGAGAAGAAATTGGCGAGAGCTCCACTGCACGTGATCCTGAGTTCCCACCGGGAAAGGAGGATTGGATCAACCCAGCCACCGCATTTCTCCCGGATTCACCCAAAAGCAGTTCACCGAGGGAGCCAACACCATCTTGCTCCACCTCCTATCCCTCGTATTATGTGGGATCCGACTTCAGTGATTAAAGTAACTTCTCCAAACCTTTGTACATATGCATTTTGTTCATATCATTTCATTTAGCATCTTTTTTGTTTTGCTTTTGCTTCTCTTTCACGCTTTTATAACTCAAGAGACTGCGTTATTTAAGTGTGGGGGAGGAGCTTTGTGTCTACTGATCACGTTTTCTGTGTTCTTATTTTCTCTTTTGCATTTTGAGTCTCATATAGTTTAGTCTAAGTGCATATAAAAACCCAAAAAATCAAAAAATCAGAAAAATTTTCACAAAAAATATCATTCTAGTTGCATTTCACATTTTTAGGATCAAGTCTAGCTGCATCATATAGGCTGCATTAGTGCACGAGAGTAATGATAGGTTTTTCCTTGAGAGATCATCACCTTGAGAATCTTGATTTCCATGCTTGTTGATTCCTTAGTGCATGTGAGGCTTGAAACGATCTGAATCTGTGAAACAACTTTGAATTTGAACTCAGCTCTAATAAGTGAAAACCTTTGAACCTGACTTGTAATTATCTTGTGATGCATTGTTTGTGTGAGCATTGTGGATTCACGTATACACATTTGAGCTAGAACCCATTGTTACCACTCTTTTCCTTAGCTCAAGTAGCTGAATCCGCATTTGGATCAGTTCTCCACACCCTGAACCCATCTTTCTTTCACGCCTAAAGCATTTCGTGTGTGTATTGTGAGGCCACCTTGGATCAAGCTTAACAGAAAGTGTTAGGTTTAGAGCGATACAAGTCTCATGAGTGTCTAGTTCCAACATTAAGGAACTATTAGGTCTAGGCTGTGAATAAGTGTGGGGGTGAGGTGTCTTTGAGTGGAAGTTTTGAGAGAAAATATCTTTGAGAGAGGAAAGAGTGAGTGTGTAAAAATGAGAGTGATGAGAAGTGAGGGTTTGAAAAGAAAAGAAATCGGTATTGGGTCTTGTGTTTTAAAAAAGAAAGAGAGCTCTAAGTTTCTAAAAGAAGGTATGTAACCTCTGAGTGAAAAGAAGAAGAAAAGAAGCCAAAACGGCTCATGTGTTTAAAAAGAGAAAGTAAGAGGTTAGATAGGATAGCCCAAGTTTTGAAAAAGAGCTATGTGTGTGAAAAGAAGATCCCAAGCCGAGAGTCTAAAAGAAAAGAAAACCCTTTTGAGAGATGAAAGTGAGTGAGAAAAGAGTTGTGAGGTTCATTGTGAGCGTGTGAGCTAGAGGTATCTTTGGGTAACGCGAGTGAGTTGAGT